TTTATAAATATTAATTATAAAATAAGTTTTTAGCCTAGTTCTTTAAAAATTGAATTAGGAGATTTTTTAAAAATAATATAATTACAATATCATTATAAATTTATAATTATGTGTCACGTCCCAGAACTCAAATTCGAGGTGCAACAAACGCTGTGCGACAAACGCTGTGCACTCGTGAGAGGATCCCACAAATGCACAAGGCTCGGAACTTATCATACCAAAGTATGATACCATCAAAATCTGAAGATCAAATCTTTAAAATTTACTCTGATATCATAAAATCTCCAAATACACTCTGGTTTACAAGATCATGATTTATTTTTAAAATCTCTGTTCAATTACAATATGGCTAACCTTCTAACTCGTCACTTCCCGTGGTTTCCCCGTCCTCGGTTTCGCTTCTTGAAATGGTGGATAAGAAAAAACTATGAGATAAACTCAGTAAGTAAAATATGGAGTACCCTTAATTAAACTTATAACATGCCAACAAGTGTAATCACGAAAAATGGATACAATACGGGAACGAAATAAACGTCTCCTCTATAAGTCATGGCCAGTGTTATAAACCTCCCACTGACGGGCACAATATTTGCTGGTGTATAATCCCCACTAGCAAGGTCACTCGTACGAACCGACTCTATCACTAATATGTCGACATGTGCTAACGTTTAACCCCCACTAACCCCCACTAGCAGGGTCACTAATAACATGACCACATCGAAGACAAAACAGGTAGAAGTTAACAGAAAAATCATAATTCACCAATCACTTTCAAATCATCAGGACAATCAATTAAATTTCAAGTATGCATGCTCAATTTAATGAAAAGCATAAAAATTCCACTTCAAATTAGTCATACTTGTGTAAAACGAGTTTAGTCCCGTCACCACTTCAAAAACAAATCAAAACATGCTTTTAAAATCGAAGGACGTTACCATAATTTACTTACCTCACTCGCATGAAACCGAAGACTCGATCTCAGTGCTAAATTGACAGAACGATCAGGACCTAATCAAAATATCCAAAAATTAATTATCGTACTATGGATTCAAAGTGAAATCATCATTAGGAATACCCCTAATTACAATGCTATTTCTATCAATCTCTACATGATCGGCCATCTCCAAATTTATTCTTATATTACAAACTAACTATTTAATCCCGGTTAATTGTTGACCATTAGTGCGTAAACAGTATCCCTAAACAGTGCCGTGAACAGTACCCACGCAGTGAGCAGTAACTGCACTTCCAAAAATTGACCAAAACACTAGCTAATTTCACGGGATTTTTCTTTACAAATCTCACAGCAGCCAACTCAAGCAATTTACACTTAAATTAAACAAAACCCACTTAAAGCTACCGAAATTCATCCCCATTTTTCTGTAAAATTCGGACAACACAGCCAGCAAAGAAATGAACAAAATTCAGCAACCAATTGATGAGATTTCAAGCTTGGAGGAGCTGTCAACATACCAGAATTTTCTAGCTGCAGAACCGGACTTGGCAGGGGGAGAAGCCGACAGCAATTCTGCAGGGACTCACGGGATTACCAAAAATTGAAGGAACAATACAAAATTAGAGTAAACCCAAGGCAATTAAAGCTGGAGAAGGGAGATTCATGGCTGTTTCTTATCAGAAACCGGAGCAAATCACACCCACAAAGCAAGAGCAGCCGACGGTGAGGAGTAGAGCAAGGCAGATCCGAAATTTTCTCTGCAGGGGGGGAGGTTTCTAAGCTCAAATCTTGTTCTTGAACAAGAAAAGAAAGGCAAAACTCATCAAGCTTTACCGGTTTCTTCCAAGGGGAGGTGTGGGTCGGTTGGGTCTTCTTGTTTGGTGCAGGGAGAAGAAGAAGAAGAGCAGAATCGGGCTGGAGAAAAAAAGAGGAAAAGGAGAAAAATAACTGATCCTTATCCAAATTCTCCCTCTTTAAGTCCCTCAACTTTAACACAAATTGCCATTAGGTACACTAATAATATTTCCTCACAAATTAGTCCCTAACTCACTTATTTATCCTAGAAATTTTTTGGGGTATCACATTATGATATGTAATTAAGGAGAATTTTAAAAATAATATAATTACCTTTTCTAAAAATATCAGCCACACCAATGAATTAGTGGGTCTAAATGCGAATCACTTTGGATTTTTCTTTCTGGGTATATTAAGGAGAGAGAGGGGGAGTTCAAACCCACAGCTTTGAGCCATAAGGCTAGGCGCTGCCTGATGTGTTTTCTCGCTGGCATTAAATACACAAAAATTTCATAAATTTGTAGCTAGGTGTGGAAGAATGAATCAGTAATGAAAACACAATATTAGCAAAGAAGAATTTGACACGGCGGAATTATAAAATACGGAAACAATGTGCATCCACCAGATATTCATTTGTAACTACAACATGTATAGAATATTACAATCCTCCAAACCACTTGAGTTATGGCAAAATAAAAAATATATATATACATAACCTTAACTAATTATCTCTCAGCCTTATGAGCAGTCTACTTATAAATAACCGCGACCTGACATATTTTCCTAGTATGATTGCAAAGGACGGACCGAAGATGTGTGATCTACAGGTCGAAGAATAAATCTCAAAAACAAGTTGAAACTGCACCAACATAAAGAGAATGACAGTAGCAATGCCAGCAAGCACAGTTATTGGAATGAAGACCACCAATCGACCTTTTAACATAATACAAAGAGAAGCACAAAATGCCACCGCCATTGTTGCAATGGAGATGAAGAGTGAACACGCACCAATCATCAACTTAAGGGGTAAGGATATTAGAAAATCTTGATAAGCATAACGTGAAGTGAGGATCCCGAAAAACATCAACACTGAACCAGATGCAGTAAAAAGAGAAATTGCATCTGATACCATAAATACCGTGAAAGGTACCAGTGTAGAAGATTCGTCCGTTGAGTTCAAAAATATGGGGAAGCCAGTACTTTGATTATTCCCACCGGGAACAGTAAAAGCCGCGGCAAACATAATAGTTACGATGAGTGCACCTACGACTGTAGAAGATTCTGCCGTTTTCTTCATCCATTCTTCAGCTTCCTTTAATAAATCCTTGTGTTCTCTGTCGAACACTTGGAATGGAGTTTCTCCGGCTTTATTTTTTTGTTTTTTGTACGGCCATGGAACAATGGCTTCCACTGACTGCATTAATTTGTTCCATAAAATTATAGATGTTAAGTAATATACAGAATTTATGCTTCATATATCTAAGATATATTAAAATACAGTATAAATTTTCATAATATAGAAACTTTAAAATTCAGTAACATATCTCAAGCAAACCAACTTATTTAATTTTCTTTGGAATATATCTATATGTTAATAATATATATCAGTTTTAACTTCTTAAAAAATTGAAATTTTAATGAGTTATTTCATTCAATTAAAGTTCAATTTAAAACTCAAAACTTTATCATATTAAATGTTGATATATGGATTTGAAAACTAATTATATTAAAATATATAATCAGAATCTAACTTCATATACAAATATTTAATATAATGGATTTTTAAATTTTGAATTGAGTTTTTGGTTTTCAAATGCATGTATCAATATTT